GAGGGGGGTGAGGAGGGGGTGAGGAGGGGGGGGTGTTTAGTCTGATACTGATACTCTGTGAGGCAAGACTTAGAAAGTCTGTGTTCCTGCACAATGTCTTCTAAAGAGACAAACACAAGTCTGGAAGTTTGGAAGAAAAGAGGGAGTGTGAGGACGGGGGGGAGGACGGGGGGAGGGGAGGATTGGGGGAGTCAAGAAACACTGAGAACAAAACAAATGATTCAAGAGCTGATGAAAGATTATTAATGACTGACTGCTGCTGCTATGTGGAGGAGAGGGGTTCATGTTGGTACAGTACAGTACAGTACAGTACAGTACAGTACAGTACAGATGTGCAGTCCTTGTTTTCATAGAAATATATCTTCTCATTTTTATAACTTTGGAACTTGAAGGAAGGTTTCAGGTTCGAGTCCAGCGGCTGCCCAGTTACCGCCGAGGCGCTCTGAGCAAGGCACCGTTCACTGTTCACTTTGGTGATGGGTTGCAGTGGTGCAGTGGTGTGCTGGACGTGAACAACAGTCCGATCTGTGACCTCACAGCTGTTTGTGTTCATGTGTTCGGCGTCTCTGTGACTAATGACTTCTGATTTCCTGCAGAGCCGCTGATATCGCAGCACAACATACTGAACATTCTTCAAAGGTTCGCAAACCAAAAACTGGCAGCGGCCGCGGTTTTCTCAAAGATAAGACGGAAGTTTCTGCACGGAGGCGGGAGGCGGACGGCGCAGGTCAGAAACGACTTTTATTCAAGTTCAAATTGACATTTTTAGCGTGAGTCGTAGTGGAGAGAGTTGGTGTTTGTCTGTGTCATGTGACCTGCTGTTAAAAACCGTAAGAATAAAAACCCACACTGACCGTGGAATGTCCGGTTCCACATCCGTTCGGTGACATCTTTACCTGGAGGTCGACCCCCAGACACCGACATGCTCTCGTTGAGAGCGCGGGTGTAAAGCATCAGGCCGTCGTAGAACCCTCCGGCTATGATGTTCATCTGAAAACACCAAAAAGAAATGTTTAAGACAAGGAAAAGATAAAGATACTTCAAAAGATATTTTCAAAAAAAATTTAAAAATTTCAAAAAATCTTTTTCAAAATTTTTCAAAAGAATTTTTTTTTTTTTTTTTCAAAAAAAAATTTTTTTTTCTCAAAAAATTTTTTTTTCCTAAAAAATTTTTTTTTCTCAAAAAATTAAAAAAAAAAAATTTCCAAAAAATTCTTTTCTTTGGACATGTGCAGAGGAAGGACAGTGGATACATTGGTAGAAGAATGTTGGGGAGAGATGTTGGGAGAGTTGGAGCTACCAGGTAGGAGAAAGAGAGGAAAGCCAAAGAGGAGATATATGGATGCAGTGAGGAAGGACATGCAGATAGTTGGAGTCAGAGTAGGAGATGCAGAGAACAGGGAGATGGAAATCAATGATTTGCTGTAGCAACTCCTGAAAAAAGTTGAAAAAAAATTTTTCATAACATTTTTTTTAAAAAACATTTTTCAAAAAAAAATTTAAAAAAACATTTCAAGAAATTTTTTTCAAAAATTTTTTTTGAAAAATTTTTTCAAATTTTTTTTTGAACATTTTTTTTTGAACATTTTCCAAAAAAAAATTTTTCAAAAAAAAATTTTCGAAAGAAATTTTTTCAATCAATGATTTTCTCCGTGGACTTTGGTCTGTTCTGGTCCAGGGGACAATAACATTTCTCAAATGTAAACATTAAACTCCAGGTTTCCGTTGAAGTTCATAGGCTTATTTAATTGACCAATTACTGGAACTTCCTTTGACAGAAGTATTTTTGTCAAAGTTCATTTCAGGCGGAGGCTCCTCATTAAACGCAGTCAGACGGTGGCGCCGTGACCACCAGCACTGCATTGTTCTGATCTTTTCAGACTTTAATGAGAGACTTCACACTGACTGCTGCAGGAAAACAGTGATTATTAAAGCAGCTCCCTGTGCTGTGGCTGTCAGCTGACCTGTGCCCCTCAGTTTGTACCACATCAGCTGTAATGACACCAGTGACAGTAGAAGAAGTCCACTCAGTTTCTCTGGAGTTTCTGTTGTTCATGTGACCACGTCATGTTTTAACTACGACTAATGTCCAGGATTTCAATGTTACTGCAGTAAAATCCGAAGAAAAACTAAATGTTTACTAAACAGCTAACAATAAAACAAACACCTAACCACATTTTTTTAGACCCAAAATGTAAAGAAATTTGACACAAAAAAAGATTAAAGTTTGTCTTATTTCTTAGGACTGAGGAAGGAGTTCAACTGTTGACTTATTCCTGAAGTTTAAGTCAAAAACCATTGAATAAAAACAGTGACTTTTTACACTTTTGTCTCTGACATCATCAGATTTATGAGCTAACATTTAAATATATATTGGTAAATATTATTTTGTTAAACCTCTTTGCTTTTTTTTAATCACATTTCTCACTTTAACTCTGTGACCCCTTATTTTGTTAAACCTCTTTGCTTTTTTAAAATCTCATTTCTTACTTTAACCCCGTGACCTTGTGACCCTGTGACCCTGTGACCCGACTCGACTACCAGAGTCCAGATCATAGTGTGACTTTCATTCTCACCCTGAAAGACCAGTATCTGTGTGTGTGTGTGTGTGTGTGCGTGCTCTCTCTCACCAGCGAGTCCTGGATGGTGTAGTTGAACATGCTCTTGGCGTCGGTCTTCAGGTTCTCCACGAACTCCCTGTACTCCGGGTTCTGAGGCTCGCGGTACGTCAGGATCTTCACGCTCTGAAAAACAGAAGAGGAGAAGAACCTAGAACCACCTGGATCAGTGAGAAGAGGGTTCTGAACAACAGAACCAGAACCACGGTTCTGACAGGAGATGGTTTCATCTCAGTGGTTCTGGTTCCTCTGGTCCAGAACAGAGAGATTTCTCTCAGCTGTACTGAATATGTCAGCAGTACCTGGACGTTTTCTCTCTTTTTTTTTTTAGCTTGGTTTCTAAACGTCACCTGAACATTTCAGCTGTTGTTTTAGTGTTTTGTTTTTTTTTTTACTAATGAGACTCTGTGGCTGATGATGATGATGAAGAAGATGAAGATTGAACTCTGATGGTGGGTTCACGTCAGTGTGAAGACGAAGGAAACAAAGACGGAGAGCAGAGAAGAAAATAAATCCAATTTATCATCAGCTCATCATCTCACAGGAGAGGAGACGGTAATTATTCTGACAAGAGGCGGCTCTGAGTGTGTGAGAGTGTGTGTGAGTGTGTGAGTGTGTGTGAGTGTGTG